CCCCCCCCCCGAGACCACTTCTCGGAAATGGCAGAATCACCTGGAGGCCACTCCGGCGGGTGCGGAGGGGTTCGATGGCCACCAAACCCACTCCCTCCTACTACCACTCAACCACTAAGCATCTGGACACCTTCCGATCGCACATCGGCCCAACCGTTCGGGCCGACGATGGGAAACGGTGGTTCTAAAAATGCACTATTTCCCACCGTCTTCATTCATCGTTGGCCTAAGGCATCTACACCTCCTCTGGGGACGCCCAGGAGCCCTCTCCCCACCACATGGACGTGGTTCCACCGCCCATCTACCTCCGCGCCCCCCCTCCAGGATCACTTCTCAAAAATGGCAGAATCACCCGAAGGCCGCTTTGGCGGGTGCGGAGGGGTTCGATGGCCACCAAACTCACTCCCCCCTACTGCCACTCATCCACTGGTGGTCCCACCGCCCGTTTACCCCCCGCCCCCCTTTGGGACCACTTCTCGGAAATGGCAAAATCACCCGAAGGCCGCTCTAGAGGGTGCAGAGGGGTTCGAAGGCCACCAAACTCACTCCCTCCTACTGCCACTCACCTACCGAGCATCCAGACACCTTCTAATTGTCCATCGACCCGATGGCCCAGGCCGATGGTGGGAAACGGTGGTTTTGCAAAAGCATCGTTTCCCATCGTTGGCCTTCCCCGTTGCCTTTCTTGTTGGCCCAGGGCATCTCCACCTCCCCTGGGGACATCAAGGAGACCTCTCCCCACCCTATGAAGGTGGTTCCACTGCCCGTTTACCCCCGCGCCCCACTCTAGGACTGCTTCTCCAAAATGGAAAAATCACCCAGAGGCCGCTCCGACGGGTGCGGAGGGGTTCAATGGCCACCAAACCCATTCCATCCTATTGCCACTCATCCACCGAGCATCCCGACACCTTTCGATCGCCCATCAGCTCGACGGTGGGAAATGGTGGTGGCCTTCCCCGTTGGCTCAGGGCATCTCCCCCCCTCATCCCTCTAGGACCACTTCTCAGAAATGGCAGAATCACCCGTAGGCCACTCCGGCGAGTGCAGAGGGGTTCAAAGACCACCAAACGCACTCCCTCTTACTGTCACTCACCCACCGAGCATCCGGGCACCTTTTAATCACCCATCGGTCCCACGGTGGGAAATAGTGGTTTTGCAAAAGCACTAATTCCCATCGTTGGCCTGGGGCATCTCCGCCTCCTCTGGGGACGTTAAGGAGACCTCTCCCACCCCGTGGAGGTGGTCTCACTGCCTGTCTACCCCCACGCCCCCCCTTCGGGACCGCTTCTCCAAAATGGCAAAATTACTTGGAGGCCACTCCGACGAGTGCGAAGGGGTTCGATGGCCACCAAACCCACTCCCTCTTACTGCCACTCACCCACTGAGCATCCAAACACCTTTCAATCACCCATCGGCCCGACGGTGAGAAACGGTGGTTGTGCCAAAGCACCGTTTCCCACTGTTGGCTTTCCCCGTTTCCTCGAGGCATCTCCGCCTCCTTTGGGGATGTTTAGGAGACCTCTCCCCATCCTATGGAGGTGGTTCCACTACTCGTCTACCCCGCGCCCCCGCTCTGAGACCGCTTCTCGGAAATGGCAGAATCACCCAAAGGCCGCTCCGTCGGCCTTCCCCTTGAGTCTGGGATTCTCTACCTCCTACCGGAAGGTATCTTCGATGAATTTACAAATATTTCTTAGTCAAGAAAAAAAAAATCTTCTAAGCAATTTATGTTTATATAATTATATTTAAAAAGTCAAAATAACTACAATAACACAACAAAATAGTTCACCAACATGAAAACGAAAGGGGGGAGTCTTTTAACACAATATTAAAAACATTGAACCTACGTATTCACCAATAATGATAAATTATTTCCAAAAGACCAATGTAAGTAGAATTATAACAAAAACAAGAAAAACAAGTTGCCCATCCCTTCAGTAGCTAACTCATGGACTGATTTCATAGATTAAATCTGCCTTATGCAAACATTGACTGCTCTTTCCACATTTTCAAGGCGTTCTAGAACATCACCATGACTATTTCCCGATGTAACCTCATCCGACCAACCTTGAGGAATCGCTCACTCAAAAAATTTGCAACTGCCAATAGAATCGCTTTCAGTCGTTGGGCTATCCAGCACCTACTCTTGCAAGTGCAACACATGTAATTAGCAATATACATGCCTTATATCGATGCTAACAAATAGTATCATCCCATTAAAAATATTACCCCGGATTTTAATAGACAATTATAAAACAACTTCTGTGGGTTATTCCGAGTTGTTGAAAAGATTGATTCCCAACACTCCGTTGCCTTTTCACACTTACAAATGTTCAATAACCCATGGTAGCAACATTCATATCTTAATCAACATTAAACACTTCATTTTCATTAGAACTGAGCTAAGCAACATTCAAATATTCATTTACAGAGGTCCTTATGGCAATCGATTAAGGAGAAAAATGTAACAAAGTAAATTGCCTGTGGTCGAGTAGTGTCAACAAATGCATAGGTGGCCAAATCGGAATGAACTGGAAACACAAGGGTCGTGCCAGAAACACAGGGGAACCACCTCCACAGCAATTGAATGCAGAGGCATGAGAAACCTTCCAACGGCCGCTAAAACCAGCTTTGAACGTCCTTTCAATGATCAACACAAGGTGCCTCCGACTGACGGTGAACAGTAAATCGATGCTCCAACTTCCTCCGAATGGTGAACGTTGAGTGTCGTCTACGACCAGTCACCGGTGAACACAGGGGATCTGAGAATGTTTCAATGTCTTAAATAAGAAAGACCGATGATAAAACAACGAACATAGGTAGAGATGAAGCTCCGGTAATGGAAAAATGCGAACACAAGTAGAGATGAAGTACTGGTGATGAAACGGTGAGATGAAGCTCTGGTGATGAGTAAGAGATGAAGCTTCGATGATGAGAGATGAAGCTCTAGAGATAAAAGGCTCTGAGAAATTTTGAAAAGGGGAAAACATTGTAGCTCCGGTGATCCCGTGATTAGTGGCTCTGAGAAACGGAGAAGAGGGTGAATGCTGTAGGTTCGAAATGAGGAAGAAGACGATGAGAAGATGTTGCAGCTTTCTATAGAGCTCCGATGATCTATAATTAACGGATCTGAGAAAGGGTGAGGATGTCGTAGGTTCAAAATTAGGAAGAAGACAATGAAAAAGACGTTGGGGTGGAGGGGTATAATGGGTATAATGCTAAACCTATGATGACATGGTGGGGGGAGGAGCCGAAACACATTTCGGATTTGTTGGGTGGGGGTGGTATGGGTTTCGATTTTCATATTTCCTCAGTCGATATTTCGATTTCTGAGGGAGAGCTACCTGAAGATTCCCCTATATTAGTAGATGGCCAATGGTGGCAGCCAAAATGTATTACATGATTTGAGCTATGATATCTAATTCCTCTCTCTTTTTTTCTGAAAAAAGAAAAAATTCTTTTAGATGGTCGAGGAATTATAACCCCGATTATTGGGTTACTTCATCTAAACATTAAATAAATGCTGGATTTTCTTTTCGCATTCATACGTGCACCTTAAGTTGTTTTACAAAAAAAAAATAAATAAAAGCAGAAACAAAAGAATAAGTTGTGGGCATCTGAATCGAGAGTTTTTGCATAACCGGTGTTCAAATCACTGAGTTTTATATGGGCATTATGGTTAAAGAATTGAGAGATGTCTGACATATAACTTATGCCGAATAAAGGGGGTTGCAGTGGTATTTTGGTTTTAGTACTGGTTTTCAGCGGTTGGATTTTCAACACCTAAAATTGTTTAATAATCTATAAGGTTAGTAATGGTTTCTATGGTTCTACCCTAAAAGAAGGTTAATGGAATGAAAGAAATTACAAGTTATTTTCTTTCAACCCCGGGAATTAAAAGTTCCATTTATCCAACAGTTTTAACCTTTCAAGGACAGCCTCTTAACAATTGTTAAGGACAGCAGAGGAGGATGAGGTGCAGGGGATCGGGCAGTACATGGATCAGGGGAGAGGCGAAAAGGATGGAATCTGTACAGGTTGCCTTTACTTGATGAAGTTCTAAAGGAGGTTTGAATTACCGCAAAATTTAGCGGGTTTCTTTTTATTGAAACCTTTCTTTTTTAAGGTAATTTAGTAAATTTATGATGGGCAAAAGTGGCAATTTATAGCATTTAATGCTGCACGTCACCATTTTCTATCAGAAAAAGTAAGAGAAGAGAGGTTTTTTTGGGAGAATGACGGTTCAGCCCAATGTCAGAATTTTTAGGCCCGAAGTACTGTTGTTGTAGGTGCAATTCGAAATTAATGCCAATTCACAGACAGAACGGGGTGCATAGAGTGTGGGTATTTGATATTTTGAATGTTTATAAATCTATAAAGGAATTCAGAAATCTGCATTGGGCCTGTCCATACTTTTCCATTTTTTTTGCATGTTTTCTTGAAAAGTGAAAAGTGAGGAGAGACTCATATGGTTGTCAGAAAATACAGGGGAGGGTTTTATATTTTACCCTAAATTATATACTGAATTACTGAAAAGTGAGTAGGGTCATTTTGAGTCTCGAGCCCTACCTTGAACCCAACCATATTTCATACATTCACCAAACAAGAAGAAATCAATATCCTGGGAAATGTTTTCCTGAAACCTCATTTCCTGGAAACCCTTTTTTTTTTCTTGAACTTTGCTTTCCACCTAACCAAATATCACTATGTGTTCAATAAGCATTGCACATGAAGATACCACACTAGCAGCAAGTATTCAATATGGATAGCAGTTTCACATTTTAAAGTATCCATGTAAAGGTAAATCATCCACAAGCATAATGTGGTCTTCATGTATGGTTGTTGAGGAAGGAAGTGATAAAACTGTTCACTTGCTCTGGAATTTGCTCCTGAATGAAATGTGTGCCTTCAGGCATGAGTGTGATCTCCAAATCAGTGACATAGTCTTTTACCTTTCCACTCTTTATGTATTCCTCCATCTCGGGAAATTTCAGTACGTAGTCCTTCTCGCCCATGATAAGCAGTGCTGGAACTTCAACTTTTGGATCTGTTATGCTCAATTCTCCATGCAATGACCTATATAAAATCTTACATGCTAAGTATCATATCATCATCATCATTAGGGGTGAGCAAGAAAAACCGAAAACAGAACCAAACCGACTGATATACATATATTTCTATATATTATATATTTTTATTTTTTTATATATTATAAAATAATAAATATGCATTATATATAAATATAAATATTTATAATATCTAATATATTATTTATTATTAAAAATATAATATTATATATATTTCTAGTTTTTTATTTTATATTTATATATATTGTAAATATAAAAAACTGAAAAACTGACGAACCGAAGCGACAGTTAACCAGACAGGTCAACTAGTTAATTGATCAGCTTTGGTTCAGTTTTAGTTACCAGTTTTTCAGAAACCGATAATACCAGTCCGGTTTCAGAATTAGGCCCACGGTTTGATTAACCGAACTAGGCTAAGCATCATCATCATCATTATCCATGCCTTATCCCAACTAGGCTAAGCATCATATATCTTGGCTTATTGAACCAAAGGATGAAAATATGTTTATTTAGTACCATGAAATTCAAATATTTTACTCTTGTAGGGAATCTAATCTCAAAGTTTATAAAAATCCATTACTCAAGATGCAAGGCAGCTAAAGAAACATATTTATCTCTTGCTAATTTTTAAGTTCAAAAATCACCTACTTACCTATATGGAACTTGTAATGCAGTACGAAATCCAGATTTTTCATATAGAGTTGCATACATCTTAAGATCTTCATCAGTAAACCAGAATGGCAGAGGAGTAGATGGTTCCACCAAGTCCATGATTTCCTGATTTTCCTTTGCTATTGGTACTTCGCTTCTTGAGAAGAGAATGTAGATGTTCCGTACTACAGTTTTAACATCAAATCGACCAAAATCTGCTTCAGCGCGTCCAGATTCCTGAGTAAGGAAACAGATTAACCTACAAGCATCTAAAAACTAGCTTAAGGAATGCACAAGACAGAGCTATTGTTGATCACATACTTTGACCTGGTTCTCATGTGAATATTTACCTGAGCCAAAAAAGCTAACAAATTGCTAATTTTAATCACCAATCACAGTCATTCTTTTCAGAATTGTGGAGAATGCATAGTTATGTTACCGATCCTTAGGCCATAGTTGTTTAGTTTAATTTTAGCCAAGGAGATCAAAGTGCTTCTGGAATGAGCCCAGCCAGATCTCTTAAAAGCAAAATCAAGTACACACCCTGAGAGCACAGCATCCATCTCTACATTGAGAATATCTCTTGTTCTTGTATGTTAAATTCATGGGAAGATAATCCCTATGTATGGATGTAGTGTGTACACAAATTTGAAAATATTTTATCACTTAGACGTTGTAGAAAATTGAGAATTCCTGTCTCTTCTGGAATGGGGGTTGGGGAGTGGGGTTGCGTTCTAATTACTAATCCCTCTAAACACGTCTAGATTTTCTAGTGAACGGCCTTGTTGTTTATTTTTTAAACCAGAAAGGAATTAAAAAAAAAAAAAAAGAAAAAGAAGAAGTTTTATTACCCGCCATCTCAAAATATAGAAGCCTTCGGGGAGTTTGAGATGTCGTGCCATCTGATTAGGGGGAATAAAAGGGATACCCAACGTAATGACTCCTGATACCCTCTTTGGATGGATAAGGGCAAACTGGTAAGCAGAGAAGGCTCCAAAATCTTTCGCAACAATAAAAACCTGCCATCATAAATTGAATGAGATATAGTACTAGCATAATCTCATCTAAATGCAAGTTTCCCCTCCCTGACATCTTATAGCAGTTCACAATCCTTCCCTTAAATTGCCTGATACATGATGAACTCGGTGAAGTTAATATTGATAGCAGTTGGAATGATGATAATAGCTATTCCTCTATCTCCAATGGGACCCAAAATACAATATCTTTTGGAATCATTATTCAACTGATGTAGCCATGACAAAGATCATGCAATTGAAGAGAAGCTGCTCAAGAACAGAACCATAGACATTGCAGTTGCAGAATGACTTCTTTTAGAGGATTGGTAGTATATTACTTTCTTTGGAAATTGGAAGAAAAAAGAGCACAAAAGTCAACAATTCATTTTTTGATACATAGTCGTACATTGTTGGGCAAAGAACTCCAAGTTATATTTGTTTCAAAAGAGAACACGGTAAGACATGGTGTCTGAAACTAGATTGGTTACTTAAACCTTGGATGTTGTCATGTCGAATGATGGTTGGCTTAATATCCATGGCACAAGACAGTTGCACCGTTCTTCCTTCTTTTCTTTTGCAAATACTCAATGAACGGCACCCATCAATTGAAAGTGTTCTTATTGTTAGTAAATTTCTGATCATTAGGTTCCCCATAAATACTAAAAACTCAACACTGATAGATAAATTACAGACCCCCGTGTGCTGGAGGGGACTAAGATTGTTGAATTGGGGTTCCCTAAGGGCAGAAATGCGCAAGAGAGTCCAGCATTCCTGCTTAAGCTTCTACCGAATCACAGAGGCAATTATCTACTAAACAATATGAAATTGAATGATGTACATAATGAGAGACTCGGATTCCATAAATGCAGCCAAATTCATTCACAGGGAAAAACGAAGCATGCTTGCAGAGCAAGACAAGTAAGTCATCATGGAGGTACAGAGAACAGATCGTCTGGTAATAAGTTCAAGACTCCAAAAACATTAGGGGTATTTGTAAAACAATGTTCTGGCCGTAAAAGAGGCAAAATTATAAGTCAAAACTTTACTGCTTGAAAAGGAAAGTTCCGCAAATTTTATAGCGAAAAAACAGAGTCGTAATAAGAAAAGCGGAAGAAAAAAAAACAGTTTCTACCTTGGAAATGCATAAGGAATCAAGAATGACGAGGAGATCATCGATGAGATCTTTGAATGATGTCTTCTCCAGTTCAGGGGGTTGCTGGGACAGACCGTAGCCCCTGAAATCGGGAGCAATTGCCCGGAATCCGGCGTTGGCAACGGCGACCATCTGATGTCTCCAGGAGTACCATATCTCCGGAAACCCATGCAAGAAAACCACTGCCGTAGGACCTGCCCCGATCAAAACGCATAGAACAAGGACGCATCGTCAGACCCTTTAATCTCTAAATAAATAAAAAATATGATAATCAGGTGAAAAGAAGTATAAGGCAAATTTGACCATTTCCGATTTCGGCGACATGAAGCGTTAGGCCTCTTGCATCTACGTATTTGTGCTCTATCTGATTCTGATCCATCGAAGAATCTGAGAATGAGAATCGAGATGGAGGAAAGAGAGAGAGTGAGAATGAGTGATGGTCAAAATATGTATTTATAAGTGTTAATATATAAAGAGTATTTTAACAATCGTAAGTGATAATTTTATCTCTCACTTGGTTCATACATATAAACAATACTCTTTATATATTATATTATATATTTCAATGAAAAAGTATTACATCATCACATCATTACATATGGGACATTTCAAACTAAAATAATAATGATAATAATAATTAAGTGGATGTTAAAATAAATATTTATAAGTGTTAATGGTAAGTGATTATTTTAATAATAGAGATTGTTTGGTGGCCCATTTATCAAATCATTTATTGTGTTTTTAAGCATTTATTGTGGCAGGAATATTTGGTGATCTACTTTTCATATAAGTGTTTATGTTAGTATAAATGATAATTTTATCCCTCATCTTACTCATACATATAAATAATACTTTTCACATATTATATTATACATTTCAATGAAAAAGTATTACATCACCACATTATGACACATGAGAGCCCATATGGTACCGTGTATTACCGTATGGTGCCACGTAGTCGGTCATGTTAGGGCATGTAGAATCAACAACATAATACTTAGCTGAGAATGGGAATGGGAATAGGCATATCATTTTTTGCATGAATTCAAATAATATACAAAATATTGCAATGTATGCATATATATCCTATGGTGGATGTAGGAAATTATATTTCGAATTGCGTATGAATTCTGCAAATATGCAGTAGTCGTGTGTAGTCCCCTCCCATCCAACAAGGACAAATGTAAACTTCATGTTGAAATCACACGCAGTTGTTTCATTTTGTATGAAAGGCCCTTTTTTATGTCAGTATAATGTTTGCTTATCAGTAGGGACCCGTGTAGATGTGTGTCCCATCAATAGCTCCTATGCAATTCTATAAAAAAAAAAAATAGCTTTCAGTGTCTATCTATCATGTAGTTTTAAAATGGGCTCATAGTGTGCAAATGTTATCTTGAAATATGGCCAATATTTTGGATTTTGGCAAATGTGTGGATGGATAATGTTGAAGTTAGGGGCATATTATTAACAATGAGAGTTTCACTACCGTCATCAACATGTTATTGAAAAAGCAACTCATCATCTCGCTGAAATGTTGGAATCTTTCTTGCATCATTTGGTTCCTCTCATTATGTCCAACAACGTGAAGGAAAATGGTTAACCGTTCCTTCACCGAAACATCCCAATTGTTCTCAACGAGACTACGCTTTTTTAGATTATTGCACAACCATATGAACATGTGCTTGTCCATACGGCAAAGTTCATACAATCAGCCATCGTGCCCTTCAATGAGAGATTGTGTGTACACCACACCAGTGCAATCCATGGTGTATTTGGGTTCTTTGTGAAACCAAGTATCATAATAAAACTCACTCACTATAGAGGTAACCTCCATAATGCACTCCATCTCTCCATCATTGTCCAACACCCCATTGTAGAATAAGCTACTATTGGAATTTGACTCGATATCCGATACCACCTCAGTCTCCATTTCCATTTTCTTATCAATAGCCATCTCTTACACTATCATGCAATTTAATAAACACAAAAAAAAAATTATGATCATAGAATGGAAGGCATAATGCAAAAAAATACACAATTACCATTGAAATGTAAGTAAATCAAGTCTAACGATAATAATCCTAACACATTTATCAAAATAAAGAGTACTCAAGTTCTCAAGTCTATATGACAAAAGACAAAACATAGATAGATAAACATGTTTCACATTTTATTGGGACGCTCATACAACTCTCTAATCATCTTCAAATGCAAGGCTGGAGACCCAATTGCAATAAATAGGTCATGGAATTCACCATTCATGAACTGAAGACTAACAAACATGAATAGAGGACTCCTCTCCTCAATCTCAGGGATCTCACTTAGGAGGTTGATGCAACGTTCCATAGAGCTTAACCTCATGTCCTTGCTAACTTTATGAGCATTGTTAGCTCAAATGCAGAAGCAATTCTTTCCACGTTCTTGCTAATTTGTATAATACTTGTCTTTTTTCTCCTAGTAGAGTTGTTACTCTCCCCTATGTCTCTAGGGATAACCCTATGTGGGTGAGTGCTAGTCAGAGCCATTCCTGCCTCTTGCATTGTTTCGGATGCCTCAACGGGTGTTTGCGGCTCATGGTGTAATTCCTCATCCATCCGGTCATCATCCAAAGTCGGTTGTTTTAACGGTACCACCTCCGGTAATCCACCCTCATTTAGTGCCCAACTATCGTAATTGTGGGCAACCATGCCACCAAATATGATGTCCAAATCTGTCGCATGAGGAAGACCCCTCTACCTAAACTGTGATGCATCAATGTATGTTTATCACACAAGGACATAAACAAAATGATTAACCTACACTTTTATTGTATTAAAAATGCTAAAGTACACCATACCTTCAGATAGTCATCCCCAATAGTGAATGTTTCGTTCACTGGATTCCAACCCAAATCGGTATAAGTCGACAATTTATGGAATATCTTCCTTTCATTCTTTACTGCATCCCAATGATTCTTCATTTGTTTATGGGTGTAGTTTTTCCCCATTATCCTATTGAACTTTGGAATCACATTTTCTCATCCTTGTTGCAAACATAAGTCCACCCAAATTTTGTGTAGTTCAGGAGTCCACATAATGAGGAGATTCCCCCATTTTTTCCTTCACTACTAGCCATAACCTACAAATTATAATTATTAATGTAATAGCAATTATATAATAATAATTATGAAAAATGATGCGACCGTTTCAGGTCACATACCGTTTTTTTCGTGATGCAGCAATTTTTTTCTTTGGCTAAGTACCTCGTCATTTGACCTGCTCCCAGGTGGCCTATGACTCAGAGGATGGTGGAGCTCCTTGGTGGCGAACTCCTTTGTAGCGAGCTACTTGGTGGCGAACTCCCTGGTGGTGAGCTACTTGGCTAGCTCCCTGGTAGTAAGCCACCTTGATGAGCTGCTGAGTGTGTTGCCCTGGTGGCGAGCTCCCTGGTGTAGTGCAACCCGACTGCCCTTTGCATGAGATGATCTGCTCGTCCTTGTAGGCGGTGGGAGCCGAGGAACCTGCGAGAACTAAATCAGAGGACCCGAGGGTGTTTACCCGGCGGGGCCACTCCGATCGCTAAGTTAGCACTTTGATAATAGAGAGCTTGAAGATGATATTAGAGAAATGAGAGAGCTAGAGAGCAGGGGTTACCTCCCTTTTTCCCTCTGGGGGGTCGGAGCTCTTATATAGCGGTGTCCTGACAGATTTGACGTAACCGCCTCTGATTCTCTGTCGCATCCGTTACTTGCCAGGGCTGAGCTGGTGGGCGCAGGTAACCGTTGCAGAGTACGACCCTGCCAAACAAGGGACACCTTTTAGGGTTGGCAGGCACGATGCTGCCTGGCGAGAGACGTGGGCGTAGGTCTCCAGATTTGGCAGGTATGGTTGCCAGGTAGGAAATCTTCCTGCAATACGTCGAGCTGCTCTACAATGAGCTACCTTGAACTGAGCTACTTTTCACCGAGCTGCTTTTCATCGAGCCGCCGGTACCGAGGTGCTTCTACCCGAGCTGTTGGTAAGATGCCAAGCTGCCTGTAAGTGGCGAGCTGCCTATAAGTGGTGAGCTGCCTATAGCTAGCTCGAGCTGTCTAGTTGGCAAGAGGCTGCACTTAGTTGGGATGAGGTGCCAGGTGCCATAATTTCACTAGAGGGCCAAATCTGCCATCATCATTTGCCCCCCACTCCCGAGCTGAGAGAAACTCGGCGAAGCGAGTAGGTTTCTCCTTTTGGCCCGTAAGTTGACGAGCTAGTAAGTGTTGACCCAATGTAAGGTGAGGAGGTCTCCGGCAGTTTCAGTATTGTAGCCCTTAGGCTCTGGGGGCAACTTATAGTCCACCTTTGATGATTTTGTCAATGCTGAAGAAACGATTGGGTCTTAAGCAGTAATGTGGCCCGTAGGCTTTGGGAGCAACTTGTAGTCCACTCTTCTTGACTTTGCCCATGCCGAAGAGGCGACTGAGACTTATGTGGTGCCGAGGTCTCTGCCTGTGAGGTGTCGAGCTGACCAGGTGCCGAGATACCTGTGAGGTGTCGGGCTAACCGGGTGCCGAGCTACCTATGAGGTGCCAAGCTGACCAGGTGCCGAGCTGCCTGTGAGGTGTTGGGCTGACCGGGTGCCGAGCTACCTGTGAGGTGCCGGGCTGACCAGGTGTCGAGCTGCCTATGAGGTGTCGGGTTGACCGGGTGCCGAGCTATCTGTGAAGTGCCGAGCTGCTTGTGAGGTGTCGGGCTGACCGATGCTGAGCTACCTATGAGGTGCTGAGCTGCCGGTGAGGTGTCGAGCTGACCGAGTGCCGAGCTACCTGTGAGGTGCCGAGTGACCAGGTGTCGAGCTGCCTGTGAGGTGTCGGGTTGACAGGGTGCCGAGCTGACCAGGTGTCGAGCTACCTGTGAGGTGCAGAGCTGACCAGGTGGGTGCCTTAAGTTATGATTGCGCTGCATCAGCCTCATAATGTCGGTCACCCACTCCTACAAGATGCTACTAGGAGCTCGACCTTCGGGGGTAGCACTACTAACTTTAGGTCACCAGCTCACGCGGGAGCCTTGGAAGGCTCGACCGGCAAGGGCGCCCATGTAGTCTGTTGGCCGCCAACTCCCGTGGAAGCCACGAAGAGCTCATCTTTGTAGGGGGACCACACGAAGAGGATTAACGAGGTTTTATCTGAATTGAAAGTAAAGTTGGTAGAACTGCTTAGTCTGTTAGCTCCCTGCATATTCTTTGAGTTCATAAAAAAATGGAAACTATAAAGCGAGAGCTTCAGTTTCTAAAAGGTGAGGAATTAGCTTTCTGGGAGAAGAGGACTTAGCCTTTTGTAGGATGAAAACTTAGCTTTTTGTAGCGTTTTCCCATAGACGACGCCAATTGATGTGACCGTTTCTGGTCACATACCGATTTTTTCGTGATGTAGCAATTTTTTTCTTTGGCTAAGTACCTCGTCCTTTGACCTGCTCCCAGGTGG